TTTTTTTTTTTTTTTTTTTTTTTTTTTTTTTTTTTTTTTTTTTTTTGCTGGCATACATTTCCAGCAGCATGACGAAAGTTTTGTGTCAGTTTTATGTTAAGTGTTAGTTGTAAAATGCTTTGCTCTGTGCTCGAAATTTATACGTACGTAATATATGTACATGTAATAGTGTAAAAAACCTTTTAAATTACTTTAAAACAACAATGAAAATTTCAATCCTATATGCGTTTAACTTTTTTCTTTCTTCCTCCATATATGCATTTGCGTTCTTTTTTTTTTTTTTTTTTGTCACATATTTTTTTGTTTTTTTTTTATGGTTACATTTCTTTTTATCACAACAAACGTTGTTATCGTAATTAAAATGTTACACAAAAAAAAAAAAAAAACCACCCACCCTCTTATAGAGCACCACAACAATGACTATGATTGGCAATGAGAGACAAGCAAATTCATCATCGCATTCACGTTCGACTACGTGCAGCGATGACGATCTTGAAGAAATCAATGAAGAGCCCAGCAATACCGAATACGATAATGATGACGATGATGAGGTATCCTATGATGAATATGATGATGCGGCCAATGCAGATGTCAAAATTAATCAAAACATTAATAGCAATCATAACAAGAATAACATTAATACTGATAATGAATCCAATATAATACAAAAGGCAAAGCCTGTAATACCGGCGAATAATGCAATTGATGTTAAAACAGCAGACACTGGTGCACAAATTGCTGCAGAGCTGAATGGAACCGCAACTTCCGCTTTGGCTCACATTAATCTTGATAAATGTAATGCGAATGTTATTGAGCAACACCATCAACAGCATGCTCATTATCGGCAGCAGCAGGACCAACAGCACCAGCACCAGCATCAGCAGCAGCTGCAGCAACAACAGCAACAGCAACTAGAGCAATTGCAATCGACAGCACTAGTTAATGCCTCCTCCCCGAATGCCAATTCCTCCTATGTCTCATATAATAGTAGCACTCATTTCAATACGAATCCTCCTCAATCCACTGCCACAAATTGTAATACAGCTTTTGCTATACAGAATGCCATCAGTTCCCCCAACACTTGTGCTATTTATAATCACCCCGTTCACGTTTATAATGCGAACAATTCAATCAATTCCAAGAATCGTATGCAACAAATTGAAAATTTACATTCACCAACAACAACAAATTCACATACAAATCCCAATGCATTTACCAATAATAGTAACCCTTCCGAATTAGTAATAACAACAACAACAACAATAACAACAACAACAACAACAACAGAATCCCCACCACCACCATCATCAATATCAACCATATCATCAGCACATATGCATATGCATACAATGCAAAATCGTTTACAAATTCAAAATCAAAATATTTCCTCCAGCTTAGAGATAATCCTTTCGCCACTTATAAAAAATGCTCGACGGTAAGTTTTATACCTAAAAACAACACACCCAAAAACCAACCCTCATTTTTTTTTATTTTTTTTTTTTGCATTGGAATTTTATTTTCAGAAAGTCTTTTTTTTATTTTTTTTTTAATTTCGTAGATTTAACATAACATATACGTATATGTATAAACACGGAACACATAGCACAGTATTGTGAAAATGTATTTTCAAATTTTTTTTTTAATTTTTTTTTTTTAGAAAATTTTATTCAGTTTTTATTTTAGCCGAGTTGTGTAACTATAAAGAGTTAATAGCGTTTTTTCTTCTTTTTTTTTTTTATTTTTTAAATTTTTTGTTTCTTTTATACAATTTTCTGCGTTGGAAAAAAGCATAAAAATATATAAATAGCAAATCAAAACGAAAAATTTAGAAACTCTAAGCCGATACGAGAATGTTGCGATAAAAGCAATCAATTTTAAGATGTGTGTGCAAAGAAAATGTGAAATTTTAAATTTTATTTAAATTAACCCTTTTATTTATCAATTATTTTCCTTTTTTCTTTTACTCAATTGAAGTTTTGCCATATAACTCAGATGAATTTTTAATCTTTTACCCAAAATCATCAAATATTTCTCAAGTTATGGACCAATGCAATACCTATTGTTAGTACCGCCCATAATTATGTAAGGGAAATGCCGAGAGATGTCTTTCGCAGTTGCCGAGGAGAGTGCTATCCGCACGTTGTGTCAAAAATGAAATTTTTGTTAGCACTTTAAGGAATTGTTCAATGATCAATCCATGATCTAAGCGATGACAAAAAATATTTTAAAGACTAAAGGGAAGAATATATTGTCGACGTCCTTTGGCCAGACAAGCACACAAAGGCATTGCCGCAAGGGGAAAAATTTCGAAAACGGTTTGGAAAATTTTGTTGTTCATATTTTCATTTCTGATCTTTCAGTTACCCACTGATGTCGGTCAAGTGAAGAATTTCAAAGATTTCGATCGACATTATTCACTTTTACAGCAGTTACCTCAACGTAGCTTAGAATAATTTTCAATTTTTTTCAAGATATTCGTTACGTAAATTCATTACGACTTTATAAAAATAAATTTCAACTCTGAACTTAGCCGAATAGAATGGCCAAACTGTCAGGTCCATGTTCACATGCATATGAGGTATTTAATTGAAGCAAGATTGAAAACATAATATGCTAAGTGTTTTTAATGATTTTGCAAAAAAATTGTAAAGTATTTTCAATTGACTTTTCTCACGCGCCGTATAAAAGTTATAATTATAATAATTTTATTTGTCTAGAAATATACAGACAGGCACCTTGAAGTTCATAGATGAAGCTGGTGACAGCTACAGTCATTTCAGTGAAGATATTTTTATTATTCTTTATAGTGTTGCGGTTAATAATGAAAACCATTTCTCTTCATCTTTTTAAAAATATATGTGATCGGCTAGATATATTGAACAATTCGCTACCTTAGTCAGCTAATTTGAACAAACAGAAGACCAAACAGTTCTTTTTAAACTGATTCAAAATTTTAAACAGATTGCAAAGCAATTCGCACGCTACGCACTCTTGCTTGGAATGGACAAAAGAATAGACAGCGGTTTGGCATTATCGTGATGAAAAATTATTCCCTTCTTCCCATTGATAAGCTCTGGACGCTCCCCAATCATTTCGTTCCTTAAACGCCTTAGCTGCTATAGTCGAAATTGAGACAATCGTTTGTGTAACTCCTTTCTATTCCTACCGAAGGCGTCACACTATCATCACCGCGAACTTTGCCGCCATTTATGCAGATTCATCCATGTTGAACCTTTTCTACAGACTCGCAAGTAAACATTTGATTCATTAAATCTTTCAATGTCAAGTTCAAATGCTATCAGAATGTCGACCTTTCCGTCATCTAGTCATCGATGTCATCTTTTTCACTTCATCAAGTTTCATCAATGAGGCGCTAATGAAAGTACGATGCATTTTTACTCTTGAAATGCTTCGAGCGTTGCTGGTTGTATGTCAGGATCTTCATCTCAAACGCAATAAATTTTTGCCCCAAGCTTGTGAAGCGCTGCACAAACTATTACAAATTTTTTCAGAATTTTATTGCATTTTTGAAAACGCTCTTCTTTAAGATGGAATTAAAAATTTTCATAACTTTTTTCACTTTTTGTATTAATAGTGGGTTGTTTATGAGCCCTGCTTAGGGCTTAGTAAGATTAAGACAAGACGGGGAAAAAACGCCACGAATTTTTTCCAACTTCTCTAAATGTAAGCTACAATTGCTTTTTCTTTCCCCGTTTATCCATGACACTTCTTAAACAATGCCCCGCCTACTCGTATAGCTGCCCTTGCAAGCAAACTTTCCTTACATGGTCTCACTTATCACATATTTTGCTCTTGTCAATCACGATAATTAATCGTTTTCTACGCACTTTCACATTACAATTTGTAAAGAAAATCTCTTTCTTCATCCCCCAAAACTTTACCTTCGAAACTTTTGCTGCAAGCGTTTTAATCTCGACTCTTTTCATTTCTACACATACACATGACAATTGCAGAATTGTTATATATAACAAAAACAATTAAGATAAATATATAATAAACAAAAAAAACCATATGAAGTAAGAAATTGCTTCTTAAAAGCAACTACGAGGGCGATTAAAAAATTTTGAATAAACGCTTTTCAGAAATAATGAGCAGAGAAGCAATCGGTAATTAAAATTCCATTCGAGAAGGATTGATACATTTTACTGCAACTATCATAAAGACAGAAGACTATATAAAGCAATGCTTAACAGTTACTTATAAAATATATGTAGAAAATTACATATTTCATATGCAATAAAAAGGAGTATTTTTAAATGAATCGTTATTGCATACAGCGCCCTCGTATTGCCACACAACCATAACAATCGTTAACAAAAAAACAAGAACTCTTTCATTTTTTTTTTTTTTTTTTTTTAACAATCCTTCTCCTCCTTCTCACTACGTACAACGCATCTTTAATTGTCTGAGCCAACAAAATGAGAAATTTTTACCTTACAAAGCACAATTGCTCGAAAAATCAACAATTTCGGTAATCAAAAATCCCCATAGAAAAATTTCAATGCAGAACGAATGGAAATAATCACAAAAAAACAGAAAAAAGAGATGAAAAAAAAAAGATAACTTTATTTCAATAACTGCTTGAAGATGAAAAATGTTATGAATTCCAATTTTATGATGTACCCCCTTCACGTGCAAATGCACTGAGCAAATATCAAAAAAGAAATCCTATGACTTCATCAAAGTGTATCTGCATTGATATAAAGGGGGAATAGTATAAAAATTTGAATATTAAGACCAATATGCAGAGAATATTTAACAATTGTTAGATGGGTGCACAAAACACAGCAATCTATAGCCTGAAATAAGCAAAAGAAAGAAAATTAAAATAAAACCAATGAAAATAGATTAGTCGAATTGGGCCAACTATTAAATACCTTACACCGGATTATATAATACAATTTTTATTTTTTCCAGAGAACACAAAAATTATGCTCTGTTTTTATATGAACTTACTATTGATGGAATGGATTTTTGCAATTTTTTTCCATACAATGGCTTTTCAGAATAGGGTTTTACATGATGAGTGCTCGAAAAAGTCCAAAAGATTTTCAATATTTTCAATAACGTTCGTCCTCGATTCAAAACATATGGAGCTATCTTAAACGCTTCTGCGTATTACATACATGCGCATAAATGTAATATCCCCGGTAACACTAGTGGTGCAGTTATTATAAAAAAAAATTATATTTGGCTTTGTACCTTCTCCTGATTTTTGGTTTGATTTTATCTCTTAACAAAAGTATTTTGTTGCTAAAAACGATATATATCTGGATTACTGCATTGCCAGTGTAAATTTCTAAATTAGCGAAAATATAATATTATAATAAATTTAATGTAGGTAAAAATCGGAATACTTAGCATACTGATCTACCGATTTTTCAAAAAATTCCAAACGCAAACTCATGGTAACATACTGGAAAAATTATTATTATTATTATCATAAATTTCAAATTTTTATTGTTAATTCTAAAAAATCACAATTTAATATAACTGAACATGGCTGCAGCAAAAAGTCTATGCATTCATATTCAATTTCTTAGGATTATGCTTTATATGATTTGATGTTGCTCGCGGCTAAGTCTAATGCGTAGCTAAATGGCATTATCTGAAGATGTACGATGTCATAAGAAATACAGAAACAAACAAATGTTCCTTTGCGGATTTCAGGTTTCATCCTCATATTTTGTGACCTCAAACAGTACCTTTAAAAATCGCGAAGCGCGCGCCTCTGCCATCAGGCATACAATAATATTTTTTGCAAAATATACAAAGAGTGTTAGCATACTCTCAATGTCTTTTTTGACAGACATAAAAATAAGAATTTACGCAAATGAATATTTTTGAATACGAGGCTTACATTGTACATAATGTGAAATTGTATTTGCTAAGCTATTAAATGCGTAAAAGTTTTCTGTTACATCAGCACGCACTCATTTATACTCTCATTGTTCTTTTGTTCTATTTGTTCATAAATTCTTATTAACTAAATGTAAGTTTTCAGAATATAAGCATTGAAATATATTTTGTGTAATATTGCGAACACATTATAAGAGTTTACGATAATTGCTACATGGCCACCATCTACGTATATAAAAGAAAAATCCTGCATTTAGACTTTAGTGCAATAAGATTTATATTTTTCTTTGCTGTGTACTTGTATTAACTTGAACTTTCTAATTTAAACATGATTTTGTTTTTTTTCTGAATTTTTTATTTTTTTTTTTTTTTTTTTGTTGTTTCTATTTCAATTTACGGATTAATTGATATGAAATGAAAGAGAAATCGAGAAAAATACACATTTGGTGCTCTTGCTATTCTGCTCGCATTAGTATTCAAGCACTCTTCTTCTTACAAGTTGATCTCAGTGTTTTAATTTTTCTTTTTTCACTTCACTCTACATTAGCATAGTAAATGA